CCTGGAAGGAGAGGCAAGAACGGAACGGGAGACATGCGGGAACAGTTGGTGATTGGTCCAAGCATACAGGAAGCAGAAGCCAAACTCATGATCTGGACGAACCTTATGTCTGTGCTTTTCCGCTGGTTCTCTACAAAAGATTAAAGAAACCTATGTTAAAGAGAGGCTCGGCTAGCAATCAATTTAGGTAGGTAGAATCATTTGCATGATTTCCACGTTACAGCATACTCATTCAAAGAGCTTTCTGTACCCAATTCCTCGGCTCATTTCGCATCGGATCGAACCCCTGTCTTCCCAATTAAAATCTCGACATAAAGTAACGCCTCGATTAACTAACTCAATCCCATGCATTGATGCCTTCCTACTTAATTAGACGCATCAGAATCTCACATTCCATTGTTCTGTAGCCTTCCTGCATAAAGTAAGACAGCTTTATCGTGTCCTAAAGGGAAGAACGTTAGGTGCGGACGTTGATTGGGTTAGCGGTGACGAGGCGTAGAAGATTAGTTTTTGTCGGATAGCGGATTCGGACCGGGTCGAACCGGTCGGGATGTAACTGATGGACCGGCCTCGTTGTTCCGATTTGGAGACATCGTCCCTGTGGGCGGACGTGATTCTGGCACGTGGGTCCGCCGATCGAGACCGTGGAATCTGCACCTCTGTACTCGTACCACTGTGTCAGATCGATTTTGACCTGGTTGACCACGATTCCTTGGGACGCTAATCGTGATGATTCGGCATCCACTCATGCAATTACATGCGCATTAATGCGTGATTACGGCTCGCTAATGACTTGAGTTATCCATTTCGCTCCAACCAATGCCGTCCGATATTAATTAACCCAATCATTAAATCGTTGTACCGAGCTTATTCTCGACACCATTGTTTTCGCAGCCATCATAACACACATAAAAAATATTAATCGATTACTTTTAGTCCCATTATTGTGTAACATTATTATGATCACAATTGTAGTGAAATTATTGGTCTGTGTCTTTTCTTTTTCTCTATAATTGACACGAGTTTACCTCGAGAATTAGATACACACAATTGTAGGAGACTTCTGGCAACTTTATACACTGCAAAACTCAATTGATGCAAAAAATCAACAGTGTAAATTGAGTTTATATAACTTTGATATAGAGCTCGAAATCTTATTATTTTAATAAAAAAATCAATGCAATGATCTCTCTTCGATTTATATATGCATATAGAAAAAATATATTAAACCTATTTAAAGTGTAAAAAAGAATTAAAATGCTTGTGACGTGCATGTACTGAGTCTTCATGGGGTCTTTGTGCAGCGACATGACATTAATACCCTTCAAATGTATTTTTTAATGGAGCCAAGATAACAATAATATTAAGGCTAGTTTCGGTATTTTACATATGGATATGATCCCTATTTCCCACCTCTAATCACCACTGATGACTCCCAAGTTGGTACGCGTGCGTAATCATGAGGATCACCAACTATTAAGATTGGATGCACGAATCTTGGTACTGACCATGGTGGTATATAATACTTGATTATATCCTTAAGTGTTGTGAAGGTTAATCTTTTTTCCATTTAAAATGGCAAGAAAAAATGTTATTATTTTGCAATCGGTTTAATGATTTGCGTTAAAAAAAGGCTCCTTAGGATGAAAATTAAAACATAATTAACAAAAAATCGTGGTAATAAATCGCCTGACAACACACAACTATGCTGATTCTACTTCCCTTTTTCCTCGTCGCCACAGCTGTCTTCAGCTACGGCTTTGACCGAGAAAAGCTGACGACAAGAACTTGGGACGAGAGCAACATCAACGTGGCCTCCTGCAACCACAGTGGTTCCCCGCTTGAGCGTTCATGCTGCCGGCCATGCCTCTCTCTCTCATCAACGTGGCCTCCTCCAACCATAGTGGCTCCCCACTTGAGCTTCCATGCCGCCGGCCATGCCTCTCTCTCTCTCTCTCTCTACGTATATCATCAAATGGTGCAAGGCTTCGAGCTTGCGAACTCGAGACGCCAACTCAGATGACCTGGATTTCTCGTGCACTTGAAATTTATATTTCTCTATAATGAGAACCTCCCCAAAATATTTTCTGTTTTGTTGTCAACTCACATCCCATCTCTGGTGAAGCAAATGCATTGTTGATGAGCTATCGTTGTTCTTCGTCGACCATAACATCAACGATTAGTTTGATGGTGGTAAAAGATCCAACTTTCCTGTGTCTTAGCGATGCAAATCCTCATAGGCCTCCAGATCAAGGCTTATGAATACATTATGAAATCAAAGAGATTAATGAAACTAATATTTACATAGTATGAACTAGATAATTAAAGTAAAGAGGGACATTAGGAGGAGTTTTAGGTGATCATGAAGTATTAATTAGATTGTATAAAATATTTTATAAGATACTTGCTAAATCAATGATCTTTAAACAGGTAGGAGAATCATCCAAGACTGTGGTACAAACACTGTGGATCACCATGCTTACAATCACAGCAACCAGAATAAAGATGGATACATCTGTTCGATTACATCATGTTTGTCATACCTGACTGCATGAAGCATCGCAATCTGGAATCGCAGAGAAGACAAAGCATGGTACAAGCGGTATGTCTCATTCCTTCCTGCCTTCTCCTGTGGTGGCAACTGGGAGAGCACAGAAGAGAACAAACATGATAGGAAACGAACAACTTGAGTTGTCTGCATATACTCTCACAAAGACAAATGGATACACGTCGAACGTGAAGAACAAAATAACTCAGTAACGACAGCTTAGCTACCCATCAAATCAACAATGTTGCTGACAAAAACAACTCGATACCATATCTGTGAGCGCCTTTTTGTCTCATCAACTGGAAAAGAAACAAGTCTAGTCATGACGAACGGCGCAGAAGAAGCCTTATACCCCACCAAAATACCAGCAGATTGAATTTTCAGGGTGCGGACGCTTAATTACTTGAAGTTTATCAAACAGCAACCTCAAATTATTATTAGTTATGTGCCAATGATTGTTGTGTCCAGGATCTTGGAAGAGATGTTCAACATCTAACGAGAGCTCACTGGTGCAGTGAAAAAGGTGGGAGAAAAAAGCCTAATATATACACATGCGAAGTGGCCAAGAGGGTAGGGTGTCTTCCAAGCTTAAGTTTCCAGTCACTTGTGTTCCAACGAAAAGGGTTGCTAACAGCACCTTCGTCGAAGCAAAGTGGTGCCCATGATGCTTCTTTGCTTTTGGGTTATGACCTTAGACTTCGGCCACTGGCTTGTGTGTGCAATCTGGGCCCTGATCAGTTTGACTCGCTCAGGCTTGTCCTGCAATGGTTCTCATGTGGTTGCATCTCTGATGCTTTGTGGTTATGGTAATCCTTTTCTCTTTGGCTAATCTTAAGCAGTGAAGACCACCGAACAAGTGGTGGCGAGAATCGGGCTTTTGTCAGTGTGTAGCACCACATTTATCTCACAGCATGTATATGCCACTGCCTTGTTTAATTAAGTCGCTTTAGTTGGGTGTCCATTGTGTTTTCCTTCTGTTAGTACTTCCCTCCTTATGTTCCCATGCCATTATTCTGTCACATTGGACCTGAATCAGGCCGGAGTGATTTGGATCACCGGCATCCACCCCACAGATTCTGCTAGTCCGTTTCTATCGATAGTCTCAAAGCAAACACCAGAGAACAACATCTCATAGAGATGATTAATCATAGTACTACTGCACGTACATGATGGCTTTGGTCTCGTTCATGCCAGTAGCCCATGTGGACGAGCGAGTACTACTAGCACCCGAACATCACCCCTTGCACTCTATCTGCATGTGGGTGGCGTTCAAACCCTTGAAGAGGTCTGCAACGTAGATTCTCCTTCCCACCTCCTCTCTTACATGGTCGGGGGGATGAGTTGTATTGTTCGGCTAGCAGCAGCAAAGCCCTGCGCGTCAATAGGAGAGCCGCCTCCTTAATTGTTCTTCCCCTGTCAGGCGTCAGCAGACAACATGCCATCAGAAGAGCTGGGAAGGTGGTAGTAAGTCTTCCAGTTTGAGGAGATTAAAAGTCTAATCCTTTATTTCCTATTGATCACCTACCCGGCTTACGAATTGAATTGGACATGCTTCTGTAACCTGGGTTGTTCATCAGGGACATTTTGTGGTGCAGGTTTCTTCCAAGTTCAGGAAAGACTCTGCTGTGACCTCATGAATAGGTTCAAACAAGACCCTGTGTTCACCATTATACTTGCGTAGCAGCTGGAGCTCATGGCCTCTGTTTAGAGATGTCTTCCCACCATTCAGCATCATGCCAACACCATGAATTCCCATATGGAAGGCAACAGACAGAGGCCTAATGGTTAATTGCACGCAACGTGGAATAATTCTCCCCATTGCTCTCTGTCGGAAGGTCACTCCTCTGCTCTCCAATCCCAAGGCAAACTCATAATAGAATAAGATCATCGAGCAACAAGCAGAGTCTACGGGTGAGTGCTGTTTATGTTGAATGTCTTTAGAGTATCTTGAGGTTGGATGATTATTTCTCAGGTTGATGGGAAAATTAGAACTATCCACCAGTGTATCGTTCTTGATTACTTGTTCATGAATAGAGTATTTTGATCCAAACAAGCCTTGATGATATCTTAAATCATTTGAGCAAAAAGAGTAGATTGCAGATGGATTTTACTCACATTGATCTGCATGTGCTGCGTGAGACGTGGCCGCACTGCCTTTTGCTCCACCAATAAACAAGTCGCAAGATCGAACCTGTCATGGAGCCCTGCCGCCGAAACGTATTGCTTCCGATCTCTCCCGCATCCCTTCAGTTTGTGGCTTCCCTCCATTGGAACAGCAACGCAGGACAGCCTTGCTTCTCAGCTTACGTGGTCTTTAATCTATTGCAGACAGCATCCGACCCAATTATTGAGTCGACAGCACCCTAACTCATCTCTTTGGCTGGTCTTTCCCTGTCCCAACATATATACCGCCGCTCCTGAGTCCTCCACTCTTCCGTAGAGTACATCAGCCATGAGGCCTTCTTCCCTTCTGCGCACCTTGTCACTTAAGCTGATCTCCTCTAAGCTCTCGCCCTCCCCTGTCGCTCCGTGGCCTCCCGTTCGCACCCCCTTCGACCGATGGATCGCGGCGGAGCTCGACGAGCTCCGATTCCCCGCCTTCAGCAGGAAGACGAGCGCTCAGTGGCTGTCCAAGGCCTTGGACCTTGCGGTCGCAGCGCTAGAAATGATGGCCAGGTCTGAAGCACTCGCCGGCCCTCGTCTGAGTGCGGCCAACCGGAAGCTGGTCGAGGACTATCTCGAAGACGTGGTGGATTTGCTCGACGCGTGCAACGGCCTACGAGACAGGATGGAGGACATCAAGGAGTACACCAATTTGATCTCCACAGCCACGCATTACCTAGAAGGAGAGCACGAGCGAGGCGAGGGCGTCATCCGGCGAGCGACGGCGGCGCTAGCTGCATGCGAGGCGATGGAGAAGCGGTGCGCAGAGCTAAAGAAATGCGGCTCCAGCTTGCGCAAGCTGGGCGAGAGGATCGCTGCGCACGGTGCGCCGTCATGTGACGAAACGAGCACAAGTGCCGCCGCCGACGAGCTCCACGAGGCACTCAGCGGTTCTCGGGCTGTGGCGCTGCTGGTCGTCGCCGCCACCGGCATCGCCCTTTCCTTCAGGACCCGAAGAGGGCTGCCCGTGGTTCACTCGAGCAAGACCGCGCCATGGGGAGCCAAGCTGCATGAGCTGCAGAAGGAAGTGAAAGAAGTGTTCGACGCGAGGAGAAGAGGTGGGCTTGTGGTGTTGGATGAGTTAGATGCTGCGGCTTCTTCTGCTCGGAGTTTGCGAGATGCCATCTCGCGACGAGATCGGAAGGAGCTAAGAGTCATTGTGGATTTGGCCAGGAGGAAATGTAGGGAGTCGGAAGAGAGGACGAGGCCCCTCGGAGAGAAGGTTGATGAGCTCTACAGGCAATTAATCAGCATCAGAGTGTCATTACTGGGGAAGCTCACAGAAACCTAATGAAAAGGAGGCTTTGCGATTCCAAGAACAGATGTAAATAATCACTGCGCAATTTTCACCTTCAATTTTGATACGAAGGATATTTTCTTGTTCGATTAAAAAAAGAAAAGAAAAAATAGTGCTATATATATCTATATATATCATAAGCGATTGTTACTCTGATATCTTATTTATCACGATCAAACTCCTGTTCTACGAAAAGAATTCTCAGAAATAATTCTTTGACAATAAGTAATAGTAACTCAAGAAGTAGTCAAAGTTGACTCAGGATAACTGTGGACGAGTCTAAAGATGTCGACTTTGTTCTTCCATTAGCTTCGCCCGGCCTGGAACAGCCCCATATTACATTGCTCGCGGTAAGATTTATAGAATAAGAGATGAGTTATAATTCTTGGTTGTTCTTGAGGCAAATCCTACATAGCGCTTCATCGATCAGTTTGCTAGAGGAAGGACTTCACGGTCTAGAAAATATATGTAGACAAAATCTGAAGAACAACCCCTTAGAAGATGTATATCCACACAAGCACTGGCTTTCTCCATATCTTCTGCGTGTGTCTCCTAATTCTGCTCCTCAATATATGATCTTTTTTGCGTCTCAAGTCTGAACTTTCTTGATATCTCCGGTGAGCATAGCATCTGCAATGCGTTCCTTGGAGTGTCTCCAGATCATCTTCTCCATGTCATCTGTCGCCTTCAAGTTTAATCCATGAAAGAGTGATCCTCCACGTACAAAAGGTTTTACTAGCCACGTGAGTGCATAAATTTCTGGAGGTCGATCACCATGACTGTAATGTCATCCCTGTTACCCTTATTGTTGGAGATTTCTATGAGCTCTTTGCAGGATTTCATGGAGGAACTGTGCTTAGAGACAACATCGACCGCCTCCTGGTTTGTAACCTAAGAAAATGAAAATGAGTTAGAGATGAACTGTTGAAGATTTGACTGCTAAGTACGAGACGCATTTGCAGCAAAGCAGTACTAAAGTATACTTTGTCCCACAACCCATCAGAGGCCAGTATTAGGGATTCACAATCCGTAGTGAGGTGGATTTTCCTGATCTCTGGCTCGGAAATTATCCATTCCTTCATGTTCATGTCGCCAATTGCTCTTGACACGGCTAGCGAGTCCTGCACTCTCCACATACCATTTCGGCATGTCACATAGCCCCCCTGTTAAGTGTAGAGTACTTACTGTAAGCTTCTAAGCGACAAGATCATGAGAGAGAGAGAGAGAGAGAGAGAGAGAGAGGAGGAGGA